TTTTTTTTTTTTTTATCTAAAACCATTTCTATTGTCTATGAACGTTTAGCCCGTCGTATTTTTCGGCCATTTACTTTCACTAATTCACCAATATTCCCCCAACAACAAACCGGTCTAGCATTACCAATTTTCTTGTCAGGCGACACATTTTTGCCAATATACTTCTATGAAAATTGCTTTTAGCGTCGCATACCTTCTACCTGATAAAATCGAATCTTTTCAACACAAATCATCCATTTAAAACGACGAATACAATCTAAATAGAAACGTTGCTTTCTCTCATTTGCGATGCTACATTTAAAATGTACAAGTAAATTCTTAATCAGTCTCTAAGAATCAAACACCATTTATAAGGGCCCGGGTGCACTAGGCAAATTTTGTTCATTATACGGAAAAATCTGTCATCTTTTCAGTGAGACAAGTGCGCCCGGTAATTTTTTATCCTACCAAATTTGCGAACTGTTATCAGTCTCGAAAGGCATTGTTCTCCTGCTTCGGAGCAAGACAAATTTTTGTGAGGCGCGAAATCTGATGGATGTTTCAATCTACGAGCCAGAACATAAAATTAAGAGCGTGTAAATTTTATTTGCTGAACCTACCTTTGAGACTGAGTACGTCTTTCGTGCCCACCGAAGAGCACATACTTTGGCGTAAAATACCGTTCAAAATTCAGTCAGGGTATTTCCTTATCAAAAGTCAATTTTCATGTTGGAAATTAATTAACAGGGTCTGTTATTGTTGACCTTTTTCTGACTTCCTCATTCACTGCTATTTCCCGTGTCTGATATTATTTCCCATGTTAGGACAAAATATTTTGTCTCATTTGCTGTGCTTTACATTAATGCTCGAGTCCTTAGATAATTTATTACAGTGATCGAATCTGAAATTGGTCTCATTGCCGGAGCCTGATAGTTTCCTGAATTGACGAGTCTGGAAATTGCAGAGTACTCTCCTACCCAGACTTCTCACGGTACAAGGTTGGGATAGATTTAGATAGGTAATGAAAATCGTAAAACAATAAAAAGACTGCAGTTAGCCTTTTCTTTTGACTTCGCGCATAATGTAGAATTAAAAAACCACCAGTGCCAGAAGGGTATTGATTAAGATCAAATTAAAGAAGCATTTCTCCATTTTCTCGCAATAAATGGAGAAAACCTTGTTTGGTATCCACGGCAATTGTGGCAAGATTTTGAAAGTATTATCACAGTTTGTCAAGTTATCGTAGGAAAATATCACTGAAAAAGGAATATATCAAAAACCCTGCATAATCGAACTTTTCACTTATCAACTCGTGCTTTAATAACATGCTAGTAAAGGATGTAGTAGTGGATATTTGGTCGTAAACTGAGTTTTTAGAGCAAGGAAACTTGTAGAGTAAGATAAACTCAAACCAAAAGAGACTACAGCTATCCTGCCACCACAGTTTATTATTCACTAAGTGTTGTCCATGTTTCATTAATGAAATGACTAATCACATCCTTATCATCGAAAACAAAAAAACTTGATCTTCTTGCATAAAATGTTTGAGAAAAAGATAAATAAAAGCCTTTTAAAACGATGCTAACATGAAATCGAAAGGAACTAAAATGAGAAATCCGATCAGATTGGGGAAACGCCCAAAAACAATGAAATTATCTCTTGTCTATCTTATTTATAATTTTAACACAACGTCAGAAGTCATCAGCAAATAGTTCAAATTTGGCTCTAGCGATTTTGGAAATGAAAGGCAATGGAACTCTTGTAGCCCATCGTATAATTTGACCATCTTAACGAAGCTGTCTCCTTATCACAAAAAGAAGAATACCCAAACCATGTTCATGGCTATGATGCCATTTTGTTTTCACAGTGCGCTGTATTTTTTTTTTCTTTTCTCGCTAACGTCATACTCGCTTAGCTATAGATATATGGAAATATTAAACGTTATCTGAGGATACCTTGTCGGCCATACAAATGTTATTCCTAACTTATTTGGAAATTAACAATATACTTTTTCGTTGGTTCAAAAATATTCACTCTTGCGATGCGGACAGTCATAGAATAAGCTTTCATTTTGATGTATATCAGTCTGAGAGAACACTGCATCGCAGTCACTCAACCTAAGGTAAAGGTGTGTCATATGTTCATTTCATAACTGACAATTTACAAAGAAAAGGAAAGTCTCAATAAATATTTCCATCAAAAGCCACCCGGTGTTTCTCTTTGCCTCTCCATCCAGCGTTGCCAGGGCAACCTCAGTCTCGAAGGTCTCCCCTTCCCGCAGGCGGAGATCTGGCTCCAGTTCAATGATGACTGGGTTTGCCAACCCGATGACAATTCCAAAACGAAAAAAAAAAAAATGAAGAGGTTAAATGTTTTTTGTACTCACACACACACTGAATATGAAAGCGAACATCACAATAACGAGCACTACTTGAGCCTTTTTTTCACTATTGCTTAAGTAGTATTCATTACTGCGATGTTAATTTTGATACTCACTTTTTTAACAGCAGTTAACATATATGATTTTCATGTATTCACAGTCACACACACGCATACGCACGCATGCACACGCATATATATTATTAAACGTTGGGCTGCATGTGTAGTATCGCTGAGTATTTTTACAAGTTGTGCCGTATTTTGACGAGCCCTAATGTTTATAAGAGTGAACAAATCACTCCGAACACGGGCGTGGAATGATTAATTATTATGGAAGGAATGAGATAGCAACCTTGGAAAACAACTCAGAAACCGTGGCCGTACCTAGAAGCCTCTAAGTTTAACAGGTCGATGTTAAAATCTCCACAGACATGGAGTTTTTTCAGTAACAATTAGATTTTAACGGTTTTTTCAAAATTGCTTTGAAAACGGTATGGAGAGTTTTGATGGCGACATATGACACCTCAAAAGAAATTTTAACCTGAAGAGCTTGAAAAGCCTCATTAGAGGTTCTCTCTAACCTATGTAATTAGCGTTTCGTCAAGAAACATTCCGACACCTTCAGAGGCAAGAGGTGTCGGAAGGTATACAAATTCATAGCCTGGTATCGTTGGACAGCAATCGACGGGATTTAAATTGGTAATTTTGATTTCCGAGATTCCAATAATATTGAAGTGGAAATTTAGTTCATCAAAGGGTTGAATTTGAAGATTTTTCTAAATTTAGATGTATACATTATTATTATGGAGAATTTATTTCGGATGAGAGTGAGCGGTTCGCCCACATGTTGCGATTTCAAATTATCCTGCGAAGTTGGTACGGGACCAAGGTAACTTGAATGATTTAAAAGAACTTTTTTATGTATTGAATCAAAAATGAATATTACGCAGCTAATCTCTAATTGACATGTTTATAACCACAGTAAAATCACCTTTTTGAATAAATTAGGCTCTAGAACATTCTTTTGGTCTGTAAATTAAGGCTTTGCATTAGCAAAATGATTATCTTGCGCCTCTCTATATTTTTTAGCTTTATTCTGGTGCAGGTGTGCTTTGTGTGTAACACATTCGTGTTAAAAACAAGTGGAAAATTATCTGTGAGTGACATCAACAAGAGAAGCAGTTTTACATCAGGTAAATGTTAGGTTGAATATTTCTAATAGCCTCGTATCTACACGTGCAATTTTTAGTTATTTTTCGCAAAATTTTTCGGTAATAACAAACAGACGTACAACTGAATGGGAAAAAAAGTTTGTCTTTGCGTTGTATATAATAAATGTAAACTATCCAAGGGCTGTGGGATAAAATTGATAACGAAGCAGTAGGTATTTACCATTAAGCAATTTGTCCTTTTTCATCGATGTCATTTTGTTTTTTACGCATCTGATGACGATTATTGTGAACAAAATCACAATAATTCAAGATTTCAAAGATGTCTGAATCGTCATTCTATGCCAAAGTGTTAAATTGGAGGCTGTTGTTTTAGTCATTACGCAAACAGAAGAAATTTCATGGTGCGAAGGTGTTTTATCAGGTGCCTTTAATATTTCTGAAGTGATTATGCGTCTACTCCCCTTTCGAAAGTTCGGCAAATGATCAGTGTACACGTTGGCGAGTTTTTCGAAGGTTTGGTCGGGAATGAGATGCAAATATATGAGGGTAGTAAAAGTTTAACATAACGCGTGATTATGGCAAAAATTGATTTGTGACGCGTGAATTTTACAGAAAGGAGAACGTGATGGTGAATTTATGAACCAGCGTGAGGCACGATTTGCCTCCTAAAATATGTGACCCGTGAATTTTTTCTTTCGTTTCGTGAAAACCTCAAAATTTACCTCAAATATCGTGCACAGGCAGGTAGCTTTGAAATTTTACCTTCAATACACGAGACGGGTGAAGTGTGAAACTTTTCAGACCAAAGCGTCTGAAATCTTAATTTAAATTGAGTTTATGTAATGTTAATTTCTTAGAAGATCGCAGATATTCACATCGTGGCTTCATTGCTTCAGACAAATGCTTGAGTATGAAACATACTCGGCGTCCTGCATGCTTAAATAGTTTTAATTCGGAAGAAAATTCTCCTTCGGGTGCTCTTTGTGGCAACCCTTTACCGAGAAAGGGCACATAAATTGAAAAGGTTCCCAACCTTGCTTAAAACAGAAAGCGCAGAAAAAATTTCTTTTGACCTTTTAAAAATCATTCTGAGGGAGCAAAGTATGGTTGTTAGGTCTGACAGACCAATATTGTATTCAATGTATTAGGCCTTAAAAATGAAAAACAAATTTAATAATGAAATGACACAGACTAAAATACCTTCTTTTACACATAAAGGGCATTGAAATGGTACTTGCTGAATTTCTAGAAAGGGGCACTATAAGTCGATGTCCTTTCAGAACGGGGTGTCTCTTTAAATACAATTTTTGGCAATGATTTCTAACCTCGGGAGCTGAGTGGCACATTTCAAACCAACCTAAGAATTCTCAGTCACCTTTCCGAAATCTGGGATGTGGCGATTTTTGTTTATAATTGACTTGAGGCTCGACGTTGAGTCAGGGTATCACCCGTAAGCCTTCTTCCCTCAGAACAAGGACGTCTCGGGGAAGTTTATTATCCGACACAAGATACCTTTATTAACATTACTCTATGAATTCAATAAAGGAATGAAACATTGAATTTTCAATCTCTTGACACTAACTTCACTTTTGCGTCAGCTTTATATCGTGTAGAGGTGACAACCGCTGATGATCAGTGGGGAACAGGGACCGACGCAGATGTTAGTATTCAAATCTTCGGAGTCAAAGGAAACACATCAGTTGTTGAACTAACCAAGCCAGGCAACCTGTTTGAAAGCGGAAAGTAAGAGTTATTTTAATCTCACAGTACTACAGATAAATTAGTCTAAGATTCCGCGAGAAGGGCCTGATTCGGCAGGTAATCCATTTTTAATGGATTAGACGATAGTGACGCTTTGCACTTTAGCTCGAAACACTGATTTGGAAGGCTATGTATTCGATCATTTATTTACTCATTTATTCACCTGTTTTTTTTATAATTCATGGGCCGTTTTATCCATTTGAAAAGTTGCCATTTGTTCATAACACTCATCATTTTTTATGGACAAGTGGTTTTGGGGGATGTGAACATTACGAAACACAAACGCGAAAAAAAAACAACGAACAGATAAAAAAAATCACATAACGACAATTTCATAAACATTTTACCTAAGCAAGGAATAATGCAGCACTCAGTTGGTGATCAATAAGCCACTATGTCACATTAACCATAATTTTTTATTTAAAGCTGAACTCCTGTAAAATTTTAATCGCTTTCTTTTTTCAGCACCGATAAATTCATTATTTTGGGAAAGGCTGTTGGTTCCCTGACAAAAGTTGGTATCAAAAGGAATGAAAAAGGACTCTTTGACAGCTGGAAATTAGCGATGGTAGGAATAATATTTTGTTTTAATATTGGCTTCAGATGCGCCAACAGTCTGACCCGACAATAATTTATTGGATACCTTCCTTTTCAGATGAATACTTTACAATCAAGCGTTGTTTCTGATTCGCTTATTAACAAGTAACTTTTCACTGGTATATGTACACCTACCAGTTATTCAAGGAACAACAGTTCACTAGAGACAACCAAATTTAGGCAAAGACCAATTTAAGAAGGGCACGATCGGGGACCTTGTGTTAAATGTTTAACTTAGGAACGGAAACTCCTGATTCAAACCCTGACTGAGTCATTATGTCCACCTCTGACCGAAAAATATTCAATCGCAGTATTGATTTCTGCGTAAAAGCACCGATGGGAATCAGCAAACTCTCGGGGAAACTAGGTAAATGTGCAGGGAAGTATATACCTCCCGTTTAGCGATGATTTAGGTAACCTAAATATTTACAAAACTGAGACAAGCTCTTTTAACTGTTCTGCGAACAATATGCCAATCATGTTCCCTACTGCTAAACGTTCCTTGGACGCGTTGTTTTTATGTCGTAGGTCTCTGGCCCTCGTTTTATTGATTGTTCGAGGTGTTTGGGGCCTTAATTGTCCGTCGTCATATTTATTGGGAATTTTTTTCCTTTAGGTTACTGTTAAGCCTGCTGGATCTCTTGTTCACAAGTTTGCTTTTAACGATTGGATACCTCCCAATAAATGGGTGTACAGTTTTGGTGGACATATGCATCGCCGGGCTTTTAAGCATACTTGATTTTGAAAATCACAAGGAGGGACTTTCCTTTTCCATTATTGTAATACCATGGGCTGATTGTATACATCTGATTGTAATGAGATGTATAAATAAAGTCATTATTCGTCTTGCAGTTCCCTGTTTAAGTAATTATTATAATTTTGTTTCGTCAAAATTTACGAGAAAAAACACGATTTTTACCTTCAAGTAGCCTGTGTAATATGCCCAGAGATACGCAGAGAAATCTTTTCAATAGTTAAATTATACATCCAGTTTTGTTAAAAAAGTTCCTTCTTCACTGAACGCAACAAACAACCTTATTATTTGATCCACAATGAAAAGTGGAAATTCATCGTTCCCCTAGCAACCCCACACCGTAAGAATACTGAGATATTACATCTGTAAAGCCCATCAAAGATTACAGTGATTGATCAGTTCTTTCTGATACAGCAAGATATCAGGTGAGTTTTGTCGAACTATTATTCTTTGGTCATGTATTTACATCCTATTTCAGACCAAACATTTGAAACATTCACCAACGTATAGACTGATCGTCTGCACAACTGGCGAAGGAGAGGAGTCGAATAATCACTTCAGAAATATTAAAGACACGGGATAATTTATATCGCAAAGGAAAGTCAATCAAAGATATCCTGATCAGAGCTAAACTTTGGAGGCAGAAGATTTAAAATCTTCTGCTTGCGCATGGTGGGAGTTGTACAGGCCTGTCAACACTTTGTAACTACCATTGATGTCTTATGGACGGGCCCCGTTCTGCTTTTCGTTAAAAAAAAAAGACATCGAGAAAATTAAAAAAACACTACAGATTCAGCAAACATCTGGAAAGCATTAGCAGCCTTTGGTGGATATTTCAGCACCCAAAAACCCTCACATCCCATTGGCTCACTGCTATTGTCCAAACAAGGGAGTCAATAAAGGAATCGGAACCACATTGAACGGAAATTTAGACCCACACGCATAACGGCTTTCGGAGATATAAAAACTCGAACGACAACAAAACCTTTGATTGCTCTTAGACAGTCCTTACGCAACTGACGAGATTCAGAAAGAATCGAAACTGCAATATTCATAAATGGCTGCAGTTACTCTCACAGCCGACGGAGCTAGGTGAATATCAGTTTCATAACTGACCGGTGATTTTACACCACGTGACGTAAAGTAACCGATAAAATCGCGTGAAATTAATGAGTGGATTAATAATAATAGGATGTAGGATATCGAGAAAAATCATGGACCGATTCGCTCATTGCGAGATTGGGTACGGTTATTCAACATTCCTATTTGTACTCATTGGTTTAAATTTATTTAGTTCTGCAGCATTTTTGTTTACAGCTGAGTTTGGCTAAAAATCATCCCATCTGGCACAAAATGCCTCACTTAATTGACCCTCTTATGGTACAATTACCGAATAACCTAACGAATAAAAATGTTGCCGTGGGGATTAACCACATTTCTGACGTGAAACAAACCATTTTTCCCACAGGGGTCATGCGTGGGCCAGTTACCGGTCTGGGTTGAACTCTCCCAGTAGTAATAGGTCTTCAACTCGGTAGTGCTCTTGGAATAGTACAGATGAGGACCATAATTAGAGGACGATTCTTTGGTAAGTATACGTATCTCGTCAGGAGCAACATTTGGGCAGACAGTGGCGATATTTTTTATTACTTTACAGCTCAGGCTGCCAGCTTTGTAATCCACCAGGCTTCCGATTCCTTCTTTACAAGCGATCCAGTGGTTGATGTTGGACTTGACCATGAACTCGTTGCCTATTTGTTTCCAGAATTTAAAGTTCATGGCACCCAACTGTGTCTCTTTCAAAGGTACCTTCGTCGATATCGGAATTTCCCCTTCCGCTGGCCATGAGGGACGTGGTGTGACTGCATTACTACCGTCCGCAAAGTTGCTAGGAAGAACAAACAGATGAAAAAGAAGCACATGACGAAATAAAACAAAACAGAGTAAGAGTAGATCGGAAAAGATATTCCAGTTATTTTTTATCCAAATAATTTAGCCTGACGATCTTACGATGATCTATTCCTTGTTCGAATTTGAATTGTTATCGATTGTGAGTAACAAATTAGCTTCCCGAAAATAGTGGCTTTGGTGTGTTGATCTTATCGTATCGACATTATCCAAGCACATCAATATCTGTTTTTTTTTCATAGTAGCTGTGGCTACATACTGATAAATGTATTACGAGATGCAATCAATTTTTTCGGAACCAAGATTACAAGGCTCCTGATATGCCCATTGTTTTTCAGGAACTATCATAAAAATCTGCCCTCCTTTTTCTCTGATATTTCCTCATAAATTCCTCTTCTCTCAGCGTACATGAGAGCTTCCTCGTTCGTCCAATCCCACTTACGGATAATTTGTAAAGGTGTAACTATACACTAATGTCCAGCCTCCTCCATCAGTTTCTTGGTCACAGTAAGCACGGAATGCTTTTCCACCGGATGGGTTTATCCAGTACAGTCCTGACCCTCCGTGAGAATTTTGTTCTTTAATAACCTTACACGACTTGCCAGGATGATCCTTGTCTTCTCCAATATTTATTGGTGGAGCTGTTGTAGGACATGAAAAGAAATGTTATGGAAGCATTAAATGGTACAATAAGGAGACCATTTCCTTTTTATGGTCTCTACATAACCTTTGTTGCTGAGGAAATTCATCTCAAGTTGCTGTAGATTTGGATCATTTCTTCTCCTAGGAATGATTTTGCGTTAAGAGAAAATAAAAGGCTCATCTTCTCTTGGCTAATGGTAGCGCGTATTTTCTGGAATGTTTAAATTTAGATGAAATAAGCGCTCAGTCAGAAGTCAACATCAGAAAACCTCATAACTCAATGTTGGTTATTTAAAATCCTGCTGTGATTTTCTACAACGGAAGGCATCCATGAATATCTTAAGCGATTTTAACTTATAACAAAAAAAAGCCTGAATAAAGAACCAGAATGCAGTTCAGTTCGGCAGCAGAGCTTGCTCGCATTAAGAATACCTTCACATAATAAAACAGAACTTATAGCAAGAAGAAAGAAAACGAGTAAAACGGATGTAAAAATAGGTAGGAGGAAGGAGATAAAGAGGGCAGCTGAAGGGGAAGAATCGAATAAACATAACATCTGAACGTCCGTAAGTCGGACTTCAGACTTATGGCGCTTGTCGCACTTGCAAAGTGTGATACAGTTAACAGAGGCTAATAAAAGTACTTGATTCACGGATTACTTCCTAATCAACATACCTTCGGAGGGCTTCTCTCTTCCTAATTCAACAGGAAAGAAAGAAAACAAAGATAATTAATATTTGGTTTCAAGTACTCGAAAGCGATTGTCAACCAGTGCATAGTCTTGTTTCTAAATCATTGAATTTTCACCGGGAAAATTATCGTTCTCAGTTGATTTAGTAATCAATTTATGCCGATCCTCCACAGGCGAGGTTTGATCTATTTTCCTTGAAAAAAGGGAGGAGACTTTAAAAGGTGAGGGGATTATCAGAGAGATTGTAGTTTTCTTACTCTTACTGCCACAGTAGCGATAACTCCCAGACGGCGCTGCAGGTAACTGATAAATGAGGAAATCTTGTGGACATCTTTTGACCTTGACAAACACCTTTTTAGCACAACAATTGTTGCCTTCATCGAAACAAACTTTCTTTTTGACAGTCTTTCCAATATTCTTGGGATTAGCACCAAGCATAAATCCGGGATACATTGCACCACATGCCGGCCCGGCAACACACTCGTTTTTCTTCAACCTGTAGGAAAAAGCGGATGAATATGATGTGGGTTTAAGGTTTTGAACTACAAGTAGTTTTGTTGGATGGAGAAGTAAATGATAAATTCTTACACGTAGGCAAGAACATCGATTATCTCGGAACTTATTCCAGTGCCCGTAGCCTGAAGAGACCAAGAGTATTGTTAAGAGAAGTCAACCTATAGGTATTTCGTGAGGGTTACCTGAAAACTTTCCGGTACCAATTTATTTCCCTGGATTGAGAGGCATTGTGATAGAAGAGTGTCTTCTCCAAGAGCACAAAACCTATGACCTAAGCCTAGACTAAATTTCAGATTCTAGAATGGTAACCATTTAGCCACTGTGTTATTAACGCCGTTTCGTTCGAGCACCCTACTAGGAAGGAATCGGAGAGTTACCTGTTTGCCAATTTGAATCCTGCATCATCGGTAAAACGGTACCATTTTTTAGGCTTCAAATCCGCTGCGTCGCTTTTTCCTTTATCTTGAGTGAATTTCCTCTCTCTGTCAGATTCGGTTAGCTTTTTGTATGACGAACAAGGGTCTTTTCCTACAGACAAGGTCTCTCAAATTCAGTTGCAAATTATGTCGTTATTTAAATGATCTCACACCTGTTCCCTTTCAAAGAAAGACGGTGCAAGGGATACCACATAAGCTAGCTCAATACCACTTCTGTCCATCAGACTTGAAAGCTTTTTAACGAAGAATCTTAATAAACGGGGATTTACCTTTTTCTATTTTTTACTTCGCTGTGCGATCAGTTAAGAAAACTCTGTCTACCCTCGCAACAAGTTAAATACAGTGAAATATTCGTGTTTTCCTTCGCTTCCGGAAGTTTGCTTGTTTTTACTTCGAATTCTGTTATCCTCATTGGCTCCTTTTGAAACTCTCCTTTGTTCTTACTCAGTCGGCTTAACTTAAACGAGACGAAATTTGTTCTACAAACAAATATCATCAATACAACTGAAGAAAACACCTAATGCTGTTACCTCCTTTGATTACAGGAATACGTGATATGAGGAAAACCATCAAAAAGATCTTCAATGTCATTTCAGCAGTATCTGGTTGGAAGAGAGCAATTGCAAAAGATATTAGGAGTAAATATTAGGTTAGATCTGTGTGACAGTTATGCAATGCTCAAATCCAGAACCCTTTTGTCGCATTTATGCTACATTTCTTGCTGCTTTTAGACCTTGTTCCCAATTTCTATTTTCGGAGGCAACTCAATTACCTTGTGGCTGTAACAACGTCTCAGTTCTCTTATAAATAACTGAACCCAGGAGACCACCGATAATTCTGTCTTGTACGGGCCCCTGTTTGGGCTTTGTTGGTACACTCCAAGTCAAGATGACTGATCTTCGTTCTGCAGAGCTTTTAAGTCCTACTGTAAAGTATACGTTCAAAAAGAACGCCCACACTAGGTTCACGAAAATCTTCCGCCGCTTTTTTTGGAATATTAATCTTATCCTAAAGTACTTTTATTTGGATCATAAAACTCGCAAAATAACACGTGTGCGAAACTCCAAAAAGGAGAAAACAACCGGGCGATGATGTGAAAAAGAATTCATTCAGCTATTATTTCAATACCGAAAGCCGGAAAGTAGGGTCAAAATTGAGCCTTGAAGATTGAAGATTTTTTTTTTCGCAATACTAAAAAACTAATTTCCAAGTGCACAGCGGGAACTAAATAGGAATAAGTGAAGCGATAAAAATACCCTCTCTTGAGAGTGTTAGTCTCAATCGAACTTTCTGCATAACTGTAATACACCGCTTCAATTGTGAAGGCTATATTTCCTTTTTCGTCCGAAAGCTACTGGCGTGATTTGCCCGAGAGTGAACCAAGAAACGGAAATATATTTTCGGAAAGGCTCGAATTGAATGATTTGAATTGGACTTATGCTATCACTCCGTGGTATCCATACACTCATTTTTTTCTCCAACGAATGGCACATTTCCTGAGCGGCAACTCAGAAGCTTTGGTTACTGGCGGCGGTTTCCTTCGTTCAGTCTTCAAACACGTATCAATGAAAAATTTCTCGCTTAAAAATATTTATTGGAGTTATTATATGAACCTTACATGTAGTCTGACGCACATTTCAAGATTATAAACAACAATCAAGATTGGTTGGTTAGAAAAAGACAATGAATTACACGAAAGAACGATATCATACAGCATACATAAGTGTACTCCTGTTAAGTCAAAATAATACGACTACACCTTACCTTAAAAGAAGAGATTTTTCCCGGAGATAATGGATTCTTGTTAAGGATGAATAAAAGGTGCACGAAAATGTATTCCTAAGAAAACTGAAGATTGTTCCTAAGCAATGTTAAAGTTCTGCCGAAAAATTCTGTAAACACTCAACAAGGGAGCTAAACGTTTTCAAATTTAGATGTTTGTGATATCGTGGAAAACCATCTCATGATATTTACCTTTAATTTTGTTTTTGTGCTACCTCCCAGCAAGACTATAACAAGAATTAGAATAAATACAATACAATTAAATGTTTTTAATTGCAGGAATGTTCTGGAGGCATTTCTAATGTTCCTCACAACTTAAGAGCAGCACTTTTCTCCCACCAGTCCAGAATGTGCGATTGCCTTAATGGCTTATCTTACTCAACAATAAGTTTACGGAAAGTCATGAAACGTGGAAAGATTATATATGTAATGAGAATATTGTTCTGTAAACTGGGAATCAACTTAACGCTTTGCAAGTCTCACACGCTAGGAATCGAGGCATTATGAACCGGACGAAAGAGAGGAAAGAAAAGAAAGAAAGATGAGGCATCCAATTTATGATTTGAATGGGATTTTAATATGATTTGTCAATAGGAGTTTTATTGTTTATTATAAGCAGCAGTTGTTATTCTTTGAATTTTTAA